TAAATCAAAAGCACTCCCTTCGTGATCCTTGAATTCTGTATGAGCTGCTTTGTGAATGAAGCTATAATTCATACAATATTGTAATAATAATATACTTTTGCGAATACTGACTGGTTTTACATATACATACATAATGTGGATTGCAATGTAAACATAAAAATAATGAATTTAGCTACGCAATTTAATGTCGCCTTAAAGAGTGATCAGGAAGTAAAATATATTTTTAATTTGTATAGTACATACTCTTGAAACAAAGAGTGGCGGAGAGTTTATTGCCAGTACTTCTCTTCAGTTCTACGCCCTTGATTTGAGAACTGGCAGTAAATGTAAAATTATGTAATGTATATTTCTTTTTTGACGTTCATAAGTGTACATTGTGTTACCTATATGAATAAATGATTTTCGACTTTGACTTTAGCCGACATCGAGGCTGGCTGTTAACAGAGTTCAAAAATACTTTATATACAGAACGGATAGAAACGTCTCCATACTTTATTATATTTCTTATCTATTTCGGCCAGGTGCTCACGAGCGAATCGCGAATATACATTGTAAAAGTTGTAAAGTCTTGAAGTCACACTTCAGTATGTAATTAGCACATACACCATGAGGTTTTTATCTTATCTATAAAGCATAAACGTAAAACAATCTTCGCATATTGTACAAGTTCATTGACCATAGTCAAGGCAATAGCGATTAGCTTCTTACGGCCTCATTCATGAGGCGTGATAAAAAGTTGAATCAAGAAAATTGTCCGTATCAAACATCGTTTAGGTCCATTTAAGGATCAGCAGGAAGCGTACCGGTTCTAGTTCGCTCGTCTCACGGTAAAAATGTATCTAAAAACCATATGCCCTCCAATTAACTGGACTCTCCTATAAGGGATAGGGCACCTTATACAGCATAGCAAAATCCGCTATCTCCGCAACTGTAAAACTTTGAAACATAGGAAAGATAACATTGTAACACCCGTATAAAGGTGACAGCTATAACTTGGAAACAAAGGTATGCTGGAATAATGTGAAATAAAATTTGCGGTCACAATTCAACGAATAGCAGATTTATTATCAAGAAGTATTAACAGGAAATAACTTAACCACCATGGTATTTAAAAAACAGTGTTGCGTATTTCCGGTGACATACGAAACGCAACGTAATAATAGTCCCTAATTTTTTTTTTTTTTTTTTTTTTTTCTTTTTTTTTTTTTTTTTTTTTTTTTTTTCCTCTTTTTTTTTTTTTTTTTTTTTTTTTTTTTCTTTTTTTTTTTTTTTTTTTTTTTTTTTTTTTTTTTTTTTTTTTTTTTTTTTTTTTTTTTTTTTTTCTTTTTTTTTTTTTTTTTTTTTTTTTTTTTGGTTGGATTATTATTTCTTTGTTTTTTTTTTTTGTGAATGTGTGATTTTAACAGCATGTGCTGTAAACAATCGTGTTAGTCGAAAAGCTGTGATACTTGAGGTGTATTTTAGTGCTGTAAATCGGTACACAACTTGTTCATTAATTAAATTATATTTTCCTAAATTAAGACATTTTGTTTGTAAACAGATAGTAGATAGTAAAAAATCTGTTATGTAATACAATGCTAGTGAAATGAAGTCAATGACCAGTAGGTAACATAAGTCATTGCGGCATTGCTCTCACTGAGTTGTAAATGAAAACGTATTTTATCTACACATTCAAGGAAATACGTCGATTGTACTACTAATACATAAATTGGCTAGATTTTTCATGGTGCGGAAAAGTTTAGTAGGAAAATACATTTTTGTATATATATATCCGAGGTGATATCGGCTTTTCCTGCCCCCCGAAAGTTGCAGCGGTATGTGGGGTTCGACACACACAAGAATCCCTCATATTCAGAGAGTGGGTGAGCAATACCCACTAAAACCACCTCGAGTAGTTCCTATAACGCCGCATTACAGAAGCTCCAGGGTCGCTCTCGGGACCGGGGCCTCAAAATAAAAGATGTAATTAAATTATTTTATTTATTATTTATGCTGCCAGCGTTAAAGGTACACTGCCACAGGGACCAAACTTTTTAAATTTGTTTTGATTTTGATTTTATTTATTTTTAATTATTTTAATTATTACTTTATAGGTTAAGAAAATTGTAAATACTGTATTTGTGTAAATAAAAATATTATAGTTTATTTACTTGAAAACAATTAAATTATATATTTTAAGGAATTTATAGTTAAATTTGTTGAGGAAGAGCTGGAAACCCTGACACAGGTATGTCTTACTTAAAAGGGTTCCCAAATCTTACACATTGTAATGCATAGGTATGTACGTAAAATGAATAAACACATTTTTATTATTTTTTTAATTTTCCTATTTACTTGCCTTGAACTTGTAGCTAGGTGCGTAGGTATTTTACTACTTTATATTACTGGCCTATTTGTTTTCGCAAATTAATACGGTAAAGTTAGTACGGAGTTCCGAAACTTTTGATGGGTCTTATCTTGTCCTTGGCTGATATAACTTATAACAGGCTGCATGTTTTTACTACAGTAATTATGTTGAATATAATTGCCGTTAGATAAACGTACACATGCAATCATCAAAGAGAATTTTAATGTTAATAAAATTATTTACGGATAGTAGGTTATAATATGAGTTCAATGTCCGTGAAAATAATGTACACTGTTCTGTCGATTGGGTAATGTTAAAGGGGAACAATATTTATTTAGCCATTCCTTTAACATAGACACACTTCAATCACCTAAAAAGAACTCAACTGCAGACAACCTAAACCTAAATCTACCATACAAGCGTACTGTAATTATACTTAAAGTATTGAGAAAATTCTTTAAAGCCAAATATTGTGAAGGCATTTTCCAATTATGTATAAAGATTTCCCTTCACGTACGAACATTATTAGCAGCCGCGTTCCGACAGGTGCAGGATTAATAAAATTTTACATCAATCGTTGTTTACAGGGTGTTCAACCATTAATTACACTTCTGAACCTTATAAAATACTCTATAGCCCAATGAATAACATTCCTTGGGCCTTTTAGAATTCCTCGAAGTAGAAATTTATAGATAATCCTGTCGGAAGATTATACTTTATAGGCTCTTTTAGTCTGAACATCCTGTATAAAGGTAATGAATTATGATTACGAGCCCCCCTGTCGTCCTAATGACTTTGCCAACATTAGCCTAACAATTTGCAAAGAAGGCGGTAAACAGGTATTTACAATTACGCGAATTGGTAAATTAGGGAAAATGGATTTTTCTGGTGGTTCATTAACGTCGGCATATTTCATTTTTTATTCTAAAGATAACACAATGTTAAAGGCAAAATAGGAGCTTTTTTGGTATTTTCAAATGTTCTGGCACCCAAAAAGTATGAGTTGGGTGAGGTAATGCTGATCAAATCTGTTATTTTGTGTATATCTTGATAGCTTACATTTTGTAGTGACTTATGGCCAATTACAGGTTATTACTTTGTTAAACTTTGTCCATCAAAAGTTTTAATTTATTCAAGATACACACAGATACAGTCTTTAGAACTTCGTTTCACCAAGAAAACTATATCTATCTATCACAAAAATTTTCGTTACATATATAAGACCGACATGTCCATAATTGTATGTCTACTCAAGGGTCTGCATATATTTATTATGTTGATGCTTCGTGGTTAAGATCTTTGTTACGGGAAACGAATTTAAGTTCTTCTTGATAATGTTTTATCATGAGCATTGGAACTGCATTGGTACTCTAAGATACTTCGTACATACAATAAGGCTATGTTCACATGTAACGCGCGATCAAATTTGAACAGAGAGAAAATGGACGTGGAAGAGGCTATTATTTTGTGGTTATATTATAAAGAAAAATATAGAAAAAGGAAACGTACACATTGGGTTCATCCAATTTTGAAAAATAGACCCAGTTTGTTATAAATATAATTACGAAAATTAACAAAATTACATGCGACCGCGATGAAAGCGCACGCTCAACTGAACAGCCAACGGACATTACATTAATATCAAAGCGCGCGTCAACGCGCTTTAACGCGCGCTCATGTTAACAGTTGTATGAAAATACCATAATGTCTAGTCGCGCGATTTGAAAACGCGCGTCAAATTTTTGCCATCTGAACATAGCCTTATAATACTTTTTTTGCAATCTATATCAGCCGTACAATACTGAAAAATAAAGCGAACGCGATTTATTACTTCAACAATTCTAGAAAATAAATCCCCTTCAACCTGTAATGTAGCCCATTGAAACTGTTAATTATATTATTGCAGACAGACAGAAGCTTCGCTGATGTTATCTGTGCCTCGTTAGAGCTGACTTATAAATTTAAGACAATGGCGAGGTCTCTGCTGCTGTAATTGAGCTTACCAATACCATTAATTGTTTTTAACTTTGCAGTTTCTCAATGTCAATATGTCATTAAAATGGCCGCCATTTTGTCGACAATGACCTGAATAAGCGAGTTAACTGCAGTACCTAATTAGTATTTAATTTAGTGTAATGAAACCTATTTCCGTTGATAAGTTTAAATTGCAAATGTGTTTAATATTTATTAATTTATTTATTTATATCAGAAATACAAAATATATTCATCATAACTATTGTTTTTCTAAATCTTTAGATAACCGATTCAGTGTGCCTACGGGCAAAGGCCTCTTTTCCTTATTGTATACCAATTTCGTCCAGGTCTTAGTCTTTCCAGCCAATTCTATGATTTCATAGGCCCGGCCCACCTTTTAAGTTTAATATTAGTTATATTAAGAGCAGTGCTGGCCTAGTTCCTTGAGCCTCTCAACCCTTACGTCGAGTCTTAGAATCATCGCTATGCAATAATGTTTTCTTTATATGTACACAATTAACACGTACGGTGAAGGAAAAAAATGTGAAGTAACTTATACCTGTTGAAAAAACAGTATACATATATAAATCTGAAGCAAAGACGAAGGTAGTGTTGCTAATTTTTTATTTGTTTAATTTTTATTTAATGGAGTATTTTAAAAGTTTAACATTTAAAGATAATGATTATCGTATTTGAAGAATTTCGTTTCTGTAGTTTTGATTTACCCGATCCAGTATGTGCTTTTCACATGACCACGTATTGATACAAATTAATGTTTTCCCATAAAGAGGAAGAGGAAGTTGGCGTCAGTGAGGATGACATTCGGAATAGCGGCCTAGAAAGACGATGCGGAAACGGAAAACAGTTGCTGACCGGTGTCTCATAGTCTGTTACCAACCGATCCTGAGAAAAACGGACTCACAAAGTGGAGGACCCTAGACCTCGAGGCTGATCCCCTATTCGCTGGACCGATCAAATAAAGACACTTACATGCGCATAGGCGTGCCGAAAATAGGGGAGAGTGGAGGAAGTAGTGCGGCGCCATTAACACGACCTTCAGAAATGAAGAGCGCGAGTAAAAAAGGCTTCCTTATTATTGGTTCCCTTAGACAGTATAACCACTTCAAAGTTTAGCTAACATTTTATGGATATTATACCATATTCATCTACATACAAAGTTCATAATACAACGCAGTAGGAAAGTTTTGCCCTGGTTGCGGCGAGGTATTGAATTCGCCCTTATTTTCAGTTACATTCACGTCAATGTGGACATCAATGGAAGCATTCCATTGCGTATTTTCAATTATCTACGCCGTGGGAATGAATTGTGAACACAATGAGATGAAAAGGTCGTCATACAGATAAATAGGGAACAAAAATTAGGAAATGCTTAAGATCTGTATGATATAATCTGATGCAAACGTTTTATCTGATTGATCTATTTATATTAACATCGGGCAAACTGGCAGGAGGCTCACGTGTTAAGCTGTGCTCACCACCTCATGTCCCTTTCGGGAAAACATAAATACTAATATCTTAATAAGTAGTAAACCGATTTTGATGAAGAATTTACCAGTTTTAATTCAAAAATCTATGTAAGATAAGACTTCGTGTTCCGAGTAATTTGTGACTCAAGAGTTCCAACAATATACAAGGTCAAACTATTTGATAAAAAATAGTTTTACAATCCTAGTTTAATACCAAAATATTTGAATTATTGCAAATATTTTAACCATTTTTTTTGCGGTTAAATTGGGCTTGAGATTATTGCGATAACATAGGATAAAAAGTACCTATTAAAAACCTACTGAAGCTTATTTTCTGTGTGATATACGCGATTTTAAATACCAGATCAATTATACCAGATTATCTTGAAACCAAAGCGGATAAATCATTAGTTTGGCATCTGCTCAGGAAACACGGCAGGGTAAGCACTAAGCAATGCTAACATCCCACGAGGTGCAATGACCTTTCATCCTAGGTGATTTAGCTTGAAATTAAGTGGTCACATTTTGACTAGTTTAATTGCAATCGTGTTAATAACGGGATTATTATATTTTATTGTAAATTGTTCAGTATTTGTATTTGTGATTATAAATTAGAATGTCTATAATACTTATTTTTATATATACCATTTGATTTATCGCGCGTTCAAACAAACTAAGCTTTTATAATATAAAATATACACAATTTGTAGTATTTAATCCGAAATATATAGTTATCAGAGCAGTGTTGGCCTAGTGGCTTCAGCGTGCGACTCTCATACCTGAGGTCGTAGCTTCGATCTCGGCTGTGCACCAATGGATTTTCTTTCTATGTGCGCATTTAACATTTGCTCGTACGGTGAAGGAAAACATCGTGAGCAAACCGACATCAATCGACGGCGTGTGTTAGGCACTGGAGGCTGATCACCTATTTGCCTATTAGATTTAAAAATGATCATGAAGCAGATTCAGAAATCTGAGGCCAAGACCTAAAGAGGTTGTAGCGCCACTGTTTTTTTTTATATATATAGTTATCGGGAGTGTTGTGTTGTACAATAATATAATAAAGACAACGGACAAAGATATAGCCAATACGAATACAGGAATCATATTCTAGGGAACTGCGAGTAAGTGAGTTACGAAAAGCAAATTTTATTCCTGGCACGCTAACTGGCTATAAATTCATCAATATGACATATCGTATTCAATATCGAGCGCTTTCAGGGTTGAAATCCCAGAGGGCCAGTAGAGTTTAGAAATAGATAAATCAGTGTTCGTTATTGAAGATTGATAACGTTTATGTGAGATTTACGTGGAATAATGATGTGCGTGCGCTGAATATTCTTAAGATTCTTCAGTTTAAAGATTTATTTAGAGAATACTATTTCGCTTGAGAAGCGCAGAACAGGCTGTGTTAGGCTCTAAAAAATTCAAAAAATCAATTATTTATATAGGTAACACAATGTACACTTATGAACGTCAAAAAATAAATATATATATATGAAATGCTTCTAATTTTACATTTCCTGCCAGTTCTCTAATCAAGGGCGTAGAACGGAAGAGAAGAACTGGCAATAAACTCTCCGCCGCTCTTTTTAATCGCCTAGTTTTTTGTTTTACACAATGTTTGTAAGGAGCTGTAACCATTACACCATGTTCCACATGACATCTTAAGTAAATAAATAAATAAAATAATAAAGTAAATTAAAAACAAAGATTTGTCATCAATCAGCAGGAGGCATGGTGAAATAGTTGTAAGAACAAATAATTCAATTAAAATTCCTTGCAAGGAACTAAAACTGGGGACTCCATATGTTTAATTTGGATTTTCTTTATTTAAGAATAACTCGCGCGAATTAGAAGCGAGATTTTGGGGGTTCCACGTAGTTAGTGGCTTATAAAAATCTATATCATTATCATATCCACTAAATCAAGTTTGTGATTTTAAGAAAATCATTCCGTTCGTTTTAAGTTTGAATTTGAACAAAAGCAAAACATCGCGGTCTAAAATGTCACAAGGAAACAGTATTGTGCTGTTTGTTTATCTTTTTAAGTAAATACGGGTTGAAAGAAAACCACGCAGTTACGGTACCTAATGTTTGAACGCTTTGAAGTGCCGATGTTAGAACTAAACAATGCTTTCATAGTCAACACCTCGCCTTTTTAACGTCTTCGCAGTCTGTTCAATGTTCTTTGGACAGCTCACTTTTGCTTTGAATGTTTTTAAATGGTTGCGTTCTATATTTTATAAGATTTTTTCTTATCAGAATACTGGTTGTACGTGGTATATGATAATTTTAGGAATATTTCATTTCTAATTAATTTACTATGATAATATATAATATATAAGATACCTAAATGAATGATATTTTGTTTTATTAAATGTATAGTAATTTTTTGTAGTGTAAATTATTTTAAATACATATTTCGGCCTGTGTTTTAAGTGACTACAATGTATAATTTATCTTTTAATTTCTTGTAATTTTACACCTACATAAACGGTTTAAATTGTATGTTAAATTTTTAGACTATATATGTAAAATATTGAATGTTTGTAAAGTTTATTAATGAAATGATTAATATGTATTGTACTGTATTATTTTTTTATATAAAACTCGAAGTATTTTCGTCGCTAATATTATACAGCGAAGAGATTCGATTTTTTGTTAATAATGAATTAACTCTAGAAGTAATGAACCCACTGTGAACTTTCTTTCACCAGTACAAAGCTGCGCATGGACCAAGATCGAGCAGTGAAGGAAGCTTACTAGTGGTCGACGGACCGACGGAATTACAGAGTGGAGAGGTCCTGCTGCAACTAAAAGCCAGAAATTGGTGGGAAGTGGGACATGACAGCAAGCGCTGGATGAGAAATCCAGTTTCGCATATTTGGGGTCCCAGAGCCAGTGGAGTATAAGCGTATATCATCATGGCGTAACCGAATTTCCGCAGGCACCGCAGGGCTAAGCTATTTGTAAAATATAATAACGATAAATGGAACGTTGACAAACATTTTTCATTCAATCTGTCATAAGCGAAGTCAGCGAGTGTCCTAGTTGAAAAATGAGGGTTTTCTAAAATCTAATGAATATTTAAAAAGCACATATTCCATTTTTAAAAGTGAAAAATTTTATATCCTCATTTTCCACTGAAATATTAAAAAGATGTACAAGTGGCTCACATAAATTTTTCTCATATCATGAGTATTAAAAAATCTGGGTTAAGCTGCAATTAGTGGAATTTTTTAATCCGCTTAAATCAACACCTGGATCCTGGATTACTGGCATTTACGCTAGTGATATGTGCTATACTAATTAATCATCGCAATTTCATATGAATTAAAATTTTATTATAGCACAGCAGATAAAAAGCAGCAATTACTTAGAATTAAATGCTTACTGCCGACATGTGCACCTGCAATACCAAGTGGTTTGAAAGTGCGTTGCCGGTCTTCATGGTAGTGTATTACTAATAAATTCGTGTCTTTTACTTTAAAAGACAATATTTAATGAGGCTCATTTATGTAACATATTAAAAAAAATTAAAACATAAGAACGTTACTAAAATAGAAGTAATGTTATAATTAATTAAAGTTAAAATGTACTAAATTAATGAAACACACCAATTTGAGGGTAAAAAAGACAAAATTTTGCATTATAGTCAACACTTTTTTACCGGATTTAATCATAATTATTTAAAATAATTAATTTTTTTTCCGACGTTTCGCGTGCTTTACACCGTGCCCACGCACGCATTTCTTTAAATGTGTAAAAGTTATGTTAATAAAAGGCAATACTATTATAGTCAAAACATAAAGTTTTATAGATTTAAGTACATTAAAAATAACATATGATATATAATTATTATATGCTATTTTTAAAGTAGTTATGATGCTAACGTTACCGAGGTGTACCTTTGTGTACCTACACAGGTACACAAAGGTATTTCTTCACATACATAGATATTTTAAGCTTCTATTGTTTATGATAGTAGTAAGCCGTATAAAATAAATGGTTTGACCCAATCACGTCAAAATCGTTTACGTTAGATAATTAAAAAGGTTTCGCGGCTAAATTTAGTGAGCACGTGCGCGTAACAACGTAAATATTATTCAATGGTATATTTCTGTAAGCTACTGAAATTTTAATAAGCACGCAATGAATCTTTATATATAAGTATAGATACTTTTTATTTTTTGGGAAAAGGGATACTCTTCTTTAATAAAATCTCAGAGGCTCTTTTATCTCTGCCTTTCAATAAATTTAAGAAATGTATTAAAGAAAAGCTGTGTAAAAAGGCTTACTATAAAGTCAACGATTATCTAGTTGAGCCTGGGACTAGTGCAAGACAGGCTACTTCTAATTAATTTGCGATAATTGTTTTAAAATAAGTGTGTTTGATGATTTGCTATTTCAAAAGAGTACCGAGAGCTTTTTACACCGGCTTTTTCTCTCGGCCTACACCCTCTGTCTTCTTTACCAATGACGTGGAATAAGTGATACCTGTAGCTAATGTTCCATAATAAACATATTTTTTTTACTTACTAGTAATTTGCATCGTAATTTTCAAATAACAAGTTCGCCGGTAGTGATAAACCACATCTCAGAACGTAATCAAAATTATGTATTTATTATGTCAAGAAAAGAAATTTTATCTAGAAAAGCTTTTAGCTACAAAACATTGTTTTACGCCCGAATTAATTCACGTGGAACCACAGAACACAGCCACTATGCCATATTACGAAACAATATCTATTCTTATGTAATAAATTCTACGTTTGTCTATGCAAATTTCGGACCAGGTTATCAAATGATGCCATCGCAAATAAAATAAACTTCAGTACAACATTGTTAAAATTGCAACAATCGCCGGCAAAATTACAATCCGCTGCGGATATGAATCAAGGTTGTTAACCCTTTCACGTCACGATGTGTTCTGATACAATCAGTTTGTCTGGTTGTCGTGTAATTAGAACTTATTTTTACGTTGTTAATTTGCTACCTGTAACAGTCACAGTTCCATTATGATTCATTTTTAAAAGTTTTGATATTCTATCGTATAATCTATCGTATAATACATTATAAGATGGAGTATCAGGAAATGTTTACACTTATCTAATCATGACACAATTTAACAACAAATCAAGTTATATTCATAACCAAGCTCTTGATGTAGGGAAAACTGTATTTCAGGCGCCTCTGAATTAGCATTATGCGTTTGAAACTAAATACTATAAAATCAAATTTAAAATAATTACAAATTACATTAAGTATGAGATAAATAAAAATTGGTAATCTAATTAAATTAATACTGCCTTTGCTTATGTCACATAATGCAGAAAATTTTCCACCTCCTAATAACATTATGAAGAGTTTGTTTAGTTGGTCTCAGGAATTGACTCGAATTGAATAATTTTTTTCCCAACGTACATGCGGGCACCTGAAAGGGGACTACTAATAACAGATCTTAGGAGATAGGGAAAAACAGTATTTCATTCTGAATATGTAATTCTTATATAAAATATTGATTAACAAAAACGAGGTGTCAATTTGTGAAGCTTGATAAAATCAATATAGTTAATTGAAATATGAAGCCAAAACAATCGACAAAATTCCACTTAGTTTTCTATGACGCTATCACGTGCCTAAGTATTCGACAGTTCGAACGTGTCGCTTGTTAGGGTTTTCGAAAAATCTAATTGTGCGTCAAATATAAACATGGGGGGTGGCAAGAACTCTTCCCCTTCTGGAAACCCTTTAATTCAAGTTTCCCCTTGGTACGGAAAAGTTTAAGGAATTAAATATTATGACACAATCTGGTCAATATATTCCATACGCCTTGTTGTATGTACCAAAAAAATATAAACGATTTCAAAACTGGTGACTTTCCACCTGACCAACCAGGCTCCAGAAGATAAACCACTCTTTATATGGAAATTGTATTTGTTTTTACAACAAAGTCCCAAGCGGGATTAGAGAATGATCATGACTCTTTTTAAACGTAAATTAATCAAAAAGCTTTTTATAAATTTGACGATTATTTAAATGATTGAATGAATGGCGATAAATAGTGGCGGAGAGTTTCTTGCCTTGACTGACTTGCGAACTGGTAGTAAATGTAAATTTAGAATCAAGTTAACATCTTTTCTGTTGACTTTCATATGTTTACTTGGTTACTTATATGAATAAAGTTATAATATGAAAACTTATCAATTTCCAAAACCTTAAAAACTAATCTAATTATAAAATTCTGTGAGACTCGCGTAAATTATAAAACCAGAATATCTATGCACTATGGTACAAGAGTTATAGGAATTTATTCAAATATCGAAGCATGGAACGGTTTTAAATTTGCATTTCACGACCAGACGATTTATAGTACCAGAAGCAATGTTAAATAATTCACTATCAAGAAATAGGCGTTGTACCAATACAAGGATGTAGACTATTTATTTCTATGAATGACTCCGACATAACAGCCTTCACGCATGTACCATAAACAACATATTATAGACATGGCTTTGTAAATATGCTATCGTATAATCTTGAACCAATTTTTACGTAATCTATAATATATACTGTGTTTGGGGTTTGGTGCCAGCAGCACTTCAGCTGTCAATTAATTCACAATTCACACACCAGTGACCTGTCAAGCGCGCAAAATGTTGAGATAGTTTTGTAATTAATTTTGTGATACACGCATCTAAACAACGGTACAACTCAAATATTGACTGATGTAAGTGCATAGTAATAAAGCTTTCTTCCTAATCTAACCTTTGTTTCCGATTGGGTTATATCTGTAGTATACTTATTAAATTTCCTTAATTAAGACGATGTGATGAATTAATTAAAATAATTATGATGACCGACGGCTAATACATATACAAATATATTAAAATCACACCTTCAACTGCATACAATATCATCTTTTACAGGTGTTTGTAAAGGCCAAGTAAAATATAGAATGCGAAGTAAATTGGCTATTGGCGCTCGTTCAACGGTTAATTAACTTCATATGCACATAGACCTTAGCAGCTTAATTTCAACATAAATCGTGTATAATACGGTCCGTTTAACGTGGGTCCCGTAACTGTAATTATGGGTATGCTGAGTAATAGTCTAATAGAATTTTCTAAGACCGTATCTTTTAAATAAAACATTTACATAAATGTTTCGAGCGCAGTACAGCGGTCGTTTCTGGCAACGATTGCTGTAAAGCTATTAAGCCTTTATATTCGTTAAAGAAGTAATATTTAAATATGTACTCACAAAAAAATAATATAAAGTAGCATTAAATGTGTAATCAAAAATCAATTCTTAACTGTTGATCATTAATCAGAGAGAGATAAAAACATTTGAACATTTATTTATTTATTTATTTTATTTGTTAACACTTCGTTGCATATACATTAATATAGTACAATTGATATAATTTATTATTTGAAGGCTATCCTAGGATAGAGAAGAATAGGCTAAGGCCTATGTCAGACGACAACCTGACCATAAAACTGGTTGCAATATTTTTTTAATAATTGTTTTTCTTACGAATTATTTGTTATTTTCTATGTAACTGACGGTCAGAGAATAAAGGCTTTACTTGTTTAAAGCTCATGAATTTGATTTAGTGTCAATAGAAGATTGTTTTTAATGGATATGTGTACAACTAATTTATGTATTACTTATAGCCGTAATTGTTTTTTGCGTACCAGCCTGAAACAATTATTGTTCATCGGGTGGAACCCTGGGCTGCCATGTACGATAACCACTAAACGATGGAGGCAGTTCGATACGTGCAAAAAATATGTGAATTAAATACACGTTAGCATACAACGTTACATTTTTTTTTCAGTAATATAACATTCAAGTTAAAATCTTAACCCCGTTCAAGGTTTGTTACTTGGATCTTGCCATCTGCACA